CCCGCACAGTGCACAGTCGCGCAGCGCGCAACGGGATTTCGTCTGCTAGGCCTACTGGTACTGGTAACTGGTAACTGGTAGTAGTACTGGATTTGCTCTGCTACTTGGTTTTGCTCTGCTACTTGGTTTTGCTCTGCTACTTGGTTTTGCTCCTGCTACTCAACGCAGCGCGGCGGACTCAAGAAGGGGAGTATACTCTCTACTCATGAGTCCCAGGATTTGGGTTTGGTACTGGGATTTGGGAGTATCTACTGGATTTGGTACTGGGATTTGCTGTTACTCATTTCCGGCAAATTTGCCCACCACTAGGTCTAACCTATTTTTAGCTCTCTAGAGAACGAAATAATCTAGGTCACGTGCTTTAATTCCATATTTTAGCTGTTTATCAGTAAAAATCTACTATTGTACAACACGTTATAATGAGATACAACTATATTGATTAATGTAAAGTGCAATGAAGAAGCAAAAATGTACTTAAAGATCCAATTTTCCTTCCAAAATGAGTTGAATCGAGGCTTTCATAGTCACCTGTACGACAGACTAAAAAGCGTGCATGCAGAAAAATTGCAAAGTCAGACGAAAGAAGTCAGTGACTGACGAAAACGAGCTCATTTGCATATGAGCCTGGCCTGCAACTGACGAAAAATGCCAGTGAACTTGGGGCCTGGGGGAAAAATGTCACTTTTAGCTTTCGAATCAAATCAATCTCATTGAAAGCAAAGAAAAAGACCAAAAATATGGATGGAAGTAAAACTAAATCAAGCTCACAAGAACACACACACCTTAGTAAGAAAAATGGAGTAAAATATTTTTTTTATTCCCACCCAGGCAACCTTTTTGAATTATTACTGTTGGGGATAGAGGCCTAGGTTTAAAAGCAGCATCGGTACTGTATTGTTTATAAAAACTACAACCACTTCAACGCAAAAAGAGCAATACAGTAAAACTGTTATGTGTACTGATTTAATTTCATTTATTCTGAATTATTGTGTGATGGCTGATTGAGTAAGGTGACTGATGTCAAAATAGGCTTTGAAGGGGAACTTCAGTAATTCAGTTTTCCCAGTGAAACAGCCGTTGAGAGACATGTAGTAATTATAACATTTTTTGCCATCAAGCTCAATTTGTGGGCAAAACTGTATGGCACCGAGAAAATATGAGTAATTTGAAGTTCAAAATGTTCATGGTATTTTCCCTGTTCTCACCTTCTCCTGAACAAGAATGTTGTCTCGAAAACAACTTTTCGACCTGTTTTATGCACTGCATGTGCAGGGCTATAATGTGTTTCTTCTTCTTTTTTTTTTTCAGTTTTTGTCTGCCTGCTGGAGGATGAGGCTGACAGTTGTTGCCTGTGGGTATTTCAAAAAGTATGTCCAACGTGAAATAGCTAAAGCAAGTGGATATTCACTATACAAACCTTTGCAAGGATGGAGGCATGTTAGAAAAAGACAGTGGATTTATGACGAAAACCAGCCCTGGACAGATGCAGCAAAAGAAACAAATTTTCCCGGAAAGAAACTAAGAGAACTCATAGAACCGATTCCCCAATCACAGTGGATGATCTTCAAAGGCGATAGGGTAAGTGTTTCACTTTTAAGGGTACTAAGGATTTGGGGACAACAAAATTTAGACACATGTTCATGGCCATAATTTAAATTTTTAACTTCTTTATTTTCAAACTGTGCTGCGCTGTTTCCTCTTCTAGTTTATTTTTTTCTCAGTTATCAATTAATCAGTATTCATTTTGATCCCTTTTTGTTTACTGAATCAGATCAAGAAATGAGTTTTTACTTGTGAATCTGTGATCAATAAAATTTATTAAAATCAAGTTTTTTCCCCCTTTGCCATTTTTCTAAGTGACTTAGTTTTTCTTGAAGCCTGTAGTTTTATATGGTCATGATTTTCTTTGTGTTCCTCTGCTAGATCTCAGGGGTAGTCAACTGCTGGTTTTTCAATCTGCAGTGCAACTAATTTGTACTTATTATCTATTATTTGACTGTTTTTCCTACTTCAAGGGGCCCTAGCCTTCAAAGGTACTCTGTATATTTTTCACACTGACTAGAAGAGTATTTTCGGTTTTGGTAGGGATCCATTTTGAGTTTGCTCAGGTGGCGGCCGAAGCCTACTCTTATCCATTTTAGGACCATCAAGTAGGGGGGGGGGGGGTCTTTAACATGTGCAACTTGCACATGGGACTCTGAGATTTTTTGCCCATATCCAAGAAGGCTAAGTGTTTGGTCTTAGATACTCTAAGATCAGGGGTGTGACTAAAAGACAACAGTAAGAAAGAGCCAAGAGTAGCAATAGAAAGTAAAGAGTAAAGGAGAAAAAAAGCCCTTAACTCTTTCACTACTGCGAGCCATGTTTCATGGCTCGCTACTTCCTGCTTCAAAACCACAACTTCTTTTGTAATAATCAAATCTGAAGTCTCAGGCTGAAGATTGATCATTTTTAGCAACATGTTGAAATAGGTAATATTTCCCCTTTATTTTCGTATTAATACATGTTGCTAATATTGAAAATTGAACTTTAAAAATCTGAAATTTATCCGACGGTAAGTAGAATCAGAAAGTAGGTCACAGATAGGGCTTGGTCCAGGTGAGGAAAATCCCCTGTAGTGAAAGAGTTAAGAGGTCAGGGGCAGGGGAGAAAGTGAAGATGAAAGAAGACAGAACAGGAAAGATGGTGAAAGTGGAACATCTTAGAGGACAATAATTTTTTCATCACTGTCAGGATTTAAACCCCGATACCTTTTTGAGTGAGAGGCAAACGCCATACCTCTTGACCATGAGAGTCCACTTATGCCTTATAATGTTGTAATTAATATGACTTGTTTTGTATTATTAATCGTGTAGCGAATTTGTCAAAAAAGACTTGTTTGGGAGACATTGTAGTATATGTAGTCCATGACCTCTTTTATAAAATCATTTTTTATGACCGCTTTTATCCCTGTGATAGAAATTCTGTTTGTGTTGTTCATGAAAATAAGTCAGAGGTTGCATCATCACATATATACTTGTATCGCACCAATACAGACTATTTTTACTACCACTACATTGCTTGTCACTTATGTATATTATTATATGTGCAGCTCTCTGTTTTTTTAGGTATGCTTATCATGTCTTGTTAAAGTACACAGTCCAGTTACTACCAACCTAAATGCTGCATGCTCCCTGTGTTTCTTGATATTTTTTGTGAGCTCATTAACCATCCATCCCTGGGAGCTCTTTTTGTTAATGGTCAACCATCAGATGAACCAAACAGTGCAAGCAAGTGCTCTGCCAAAAGTTCTAAAAAAAGGAAATATTTTTGTGTGATCTGAAGGCAAAGAAAATGATGTGATCCTTTATACTTAAATTAAGCATACAAGTTCTTCTTGTTATGTCAAGAAAGAACTTCAGTTGGTGTTATACTTTCAATGAATTATTACAAAAATGCTAGACTCGATGTTTCTGTGAACTGCGCTGCACACACCCTCTTATACTCAGAGTACAATGATTGTAAGTGTTTTCCCTACCCGGTGGCACAATGTAGATACTTGATGAAATGCAATCCCTACTTTGGGGATTTCTCTGTAGTATGTAGCGGTATTGCGTTTTGCATTATTCAAACCATCGTTTTGATTATTATTTTTTTTAACTCTGCTGTTTCGATTGAGTACGTGTAGCAAAGGTAGCCTGTCTTTTTAACTTTCGGAACGCAGATGCTTACGGCGGGCGTTGATCTACGTGCTACGAATGCACGTAGCTGATTTAAAAGAACAACATGGGCACATTTTTTTTCACAGTTACTTTTTCATTACGAAGAGCGGTTAGTTATCCACTTCTCAGACGTTTTCAGAGGTTGTCTCTCGTTGTAGGGAAGTAGGTCTGGAGGTTGGGACCCCCTCCCCGCCCCGCAGAAGTTCCAGGCTTGAATTCAGGCTTGGCCCGAATTAATTACTGTTGTTACCCTTCCTTACTTAAACTTAAAGATCAGTTTTCTCTGAGCCCGGTGTCCTGACGAGGTACCAGAGCTCCACCTTGGAGATGACATTCATGTGCAGTGCGTTTCAAATTGCAAGATTTGCCGAGTTGTTATGCTCGTTTCCTCAGATGAGCTTGGTTATTTACTTACGAGGCATTGTTGACCCTCTTAAGTTGTTCAGTTTAGCCCTCCACCCCTTTTGTCGGAGCTGATAATCGATTTGGAAGCCTTCATACTGTTGAAAAAGTGTGTGGGTGGGCGAAAAATGGGGGGGGGGGATGAGAACTCAACCTCGAACTTGAAACTCGATGCGGGGGAAAAAGGGAGAAACGTGGTGTTGGAGAGGGGAGGGTGGGAGCACGAGGGGGTGGTACTGATCCTGAGGTTTGTACTTGTTTCTTTCCGCTGAGAATTA